CATACAGTCAGAATTCTTAATTATAGACTGAAATTGTAATGTTAATCCTTCACATAATTTTCAAAAAACTTCAGTGGCTGAAATTTTGTGAAAACCAGCTACTGAAATCAGCATTTCTGTTGCTATTACACGAGTTTCCAATATTCTGTTAAAGATCTAAAAAGAAGGAAATGTTTGTCCGTTATGTTGCTATGGTGATTTCCTGTATCCGCCCCCTTAACCACTCCACTCTCCTCATCCTTCATCAGACGGTTTCTCGGTGCAGTCTGTGCAAGMGATGCTGTACAACCCAGTATCAGGAGCCTGGAGCTGGACAAACAGCACAGCCATCAACTACGCCCTCCACGCTGTCAAACTGAGTGACGATCCCCAGCCGGGCCGAGCTGAGGAGAGCGGCCCCCACCCAGAGCACCACGGCGCTGCTACACACAGCTGAGCCAACACTGAGGAACCAGTCAGAAACAAAATAGACAAATAAGTTCACACGTGTGGAGCAGTAACTTCCCAGAGACCAGAGGCTGTGATGTGAAGTTATTAAAGGAAATGGACAAACAGCCATTAGATAGAATTAGAGATGCAGTTGCTGATTTGCACTCAGACTGCATCATGCTATCAGTTTTCATTCAGCCTTTACTTTACTATAATCCAGAGGGGCAGCGATTGTTTTACTAGCGTGTGATGAGGGTGCATCCTCCAACAGCAGAGCGGTGCAGCCGCGCAACCGGAGAATCTCGGAAGTTCACACTGACCCTTTATTTATCAGTGCACACTGTGCTGAATCAGATCTGTACTTTGTGTTGAATATTTTGTGATATCTATTAAAATTGTCTTTGAGGAGTGAAAGTACAACTGTGAGGACTCCGATTTGTCAAACAGCAACATGTCATGTCACTGAAAACCATTTTTAGAAGCTAAAGCCTATGTAAGTGGCGTCCACACGCGAGAGGGGACGGCCACTTCCTCTGGGATTATAAAGGATCTCATGCGGAAGTATTACATAATCCAAATCGTGCCCATGGCAGAGAGGAAGCGGTGCTGGCATGATGTCCTACAATCTGATGAATACAGATCTTCGTAGGTTTGCTCTGTATGATACTGATGACGAAGTGTATTTGTTATGTGTAATAAAGGGAAATACACAGGTACACAGTAAACAGTATCTGCAGTACACTGTTATTCCCACGTTACTTCATCTGTCTACAACAATAAACAGTGCTGCTGCTCCCGGAAGCCGCGGGGGGGGGTCTAACTTGCAGTAGCCATGGTTGCAGAGGCGACTTGGACGCACACGCGTGTCGTGCACGTCTCTGTGGTTCGTCGTGTTTGGATTAAGCCGAGCTCTGTCGCGGGACCCGGGCAGACTGCACCCGGCGGGAGGCGGAGGTGTGAGCTCCACATGTCGGATCTCCAACAAATCTTCTTTGGCTCTGAGGCGTCTGCTCGGCCGCCTCCCGGCATGCTTCACTCTGCACCTGTCGGGACCAGGACACCTGCTGCTTCACCTCGGCACCATGAGCGTCCTCTCGTACTTCAGAGGCTCCAGAGTAAGTAGACTGCTCTGTCTCCTGCATCCATGTTATTATATATACTATATATACTATTTATTACATATGTTCTTGTTAGTTGTGTTGTTATTAAAGCAGTTTACTCATACAACACAGGGGCGGACTTAGGATTTATCTGAATGGGGGCATAAAGGGGCCACAATTTACACGGAGGGGCCACTCATATGTCCAACATCTATGCACAGTTCCTGATCCAGTAATGTGCAATGTAATTGATTCCTTATTTACTGTCAGCTCTATAGTTATGAACAAACAAATACATATAACATGATATATTTGAATAGTGTCCCTTGTTCAAGCACATTGTGTTGAGTTGAAAAAAGAAATATTAACAAATAGTAATTTATTAAGCTCCTTAAGTGAATATCAAGAGTAACAAAAATAAGACTTTCTTTATTAACTTACTTATTTTTCAGTTGAGCAAATGTCTATGAGTTGAAATGTGATATTTACAAGTATCAACAACGAAATATATTTATTTGTGTAATTAGTTAATTGTGTCTGTAACGACTCAATAAATCAGGAGAAGAAAACAGTCCACAGATCACATTACGTGATATAAGGATGAGAGGGTGAGTGTCGTCACCTTGTGTTGACCAACAATCTGAGTGTTTCACCGGGATGTGAGGGGGGCTCGTCAGGGCGGGGTGATTTATTCTGGAGGAGACAATAGGCCGGTCGCATCAAGAGGCCAGATGTCAATACATCGATATCGGAAGTTGTCCAAGTTTGTCTCAAAAATAAAAGCACTGAACTCATTTCATTGGATTGATTATATCCATAGTCCCAGCTCCCATTAAGCAAATGTATTACAGTATATGTAAAAATAGAACAAGTAACTCAACTCGAGGTCCACTCACTTTCTCTTTGTAGAACTTTCATCATATTTTTCAAATTGCAGTTTATGATTTTCCACAATATATATTTGTTGCTCAAGTATAACAATATTGGATGTGACACATTTTTAATCCCAAATTATGTGAAAATGCTTATTTGAACATGTTATAATCAGTTATTAGCATCTAATGTCTTAACCAAAGGCAACTCTGTGAGCAGAGACAGCAGCAACACCCACTTTGAACACGATTAACATGTAGAGCCGAAATATCTATCAGGGACTTAATCACTCAACTATAAGAATATTAACTGATAACTACTAAGACAAAACATTCATTTATTGTACTTATTTTCATCCTTTGAATGTGATGATCTGATGTTATACATTTAATGATCATAAACTGAGTTTTAAAATATTGTTGTGTCACTAGACTAAAGATAAATTATGATGGGTGACAATTTAAATAATATCCAGTTGCTGTCCTAATAACAAAAGTTAACACTCCACCGTTTACAGAATGAATTTGTAACTGTAGGGTCACGCAGTCCAAGCTTCAGAAGTTTATATTCGTTTTAAACAGCCTCACTAGTTCAACAGTGGAAGGTTGTAAAAATGTGAATAATGTTTGTCATGGCTGTTGAGAAATGGATGTTTAGTAACCTTCTGCAGCTAAATTAAGAAAAGACTAAGTAATTCAGTCTGTTGGCCCTCACCATTGGTGCACTGGCAAACAATATCACATCAACAGCCAGGAAACTCAGTATCACATTAACTCACAGCTAAACCTTTAAGCCCATGTGAACAAATCGTGTTAATTCCTGTTAAAACAACAGACACAAGGCCCATATCTCTCCAATTCTTTTCTCCCTTCATTGGCTGCTGTTAAATTTACTATTTATATTGGGATTCTTTAAATAACTTTTAAAGCTCAGCACGGTCTGGCCCCATGCAGTTACATTAGGGAGCTACTAACTCTATTATTATTGTTGTTGTTGTCGTAACTCCACAAAAACCAACACAAAACAGGTTCAACAGGAACATTTATTTTGAAATGCGAGACCGGATGTTAGGTTGTCGTGTTTCTGACTGTCTTGACGTCACTCTCCAAAACCCGCAAAGGAAAGCGAAGCGGGCGCCGAGCATCGCTGTGGAGACGGTGGCTGTCTCCGTGTTCGCCCCTGCCGGCTCTCTGGAGGAGCAGTAGCCGCCATGCCGTAGACACCCCGCCGGGCGATTGGATGAAGCCTATCGGGGAGCGCACGAGGGAGGACGCGGGGCGGCTGTAACCGAGGGAGTGGAGGATGTACTGGGCTGCTGGCTTCGCCTCCTCCCGGCCGTGTGTGGTCGAACTCGGGCGGAACCACAGCCTGCCCCTCGGGCTGTGCGCCTCCGAGCAGCAGCACTCTTTGTATGGCTATATCATTGCCTTCCCTCTGCAGGACTACGGAGGCATCATGTCGGTGCTGGGCTCGGACTCCTGGTGGAAGAAGACCCTGTACATCACCGGGGGGGCCCTGCTGGCCGCTGCTGCCTACCTACTGCACGAGCTGCTCGCCATCAGGTAGGCGTCTGTGTCAGCTCCTTGTCTTTAATGCAGCACTAATCTCACCTGCGGACACTGCCCGGCGGGGATGAGCTGCCATTGGGTACAGAGGTGCGACCGTATGGGGTGTCACTCCTCCACAGATCTCGCGGTGGTTGCTGTGGTCTCACTCCCTGTTTTCCTCCTTCCAAGGACGAGGAGGAGGAGAGGAACAAATAAATAAAGAAGTCACGCGTCAGCTCATGTGCCACAGCTCCGTGCGCACCTGAGCGCGTAAAAACGCAGCGCTCTGAGTCAGACCGACCTTTAATGAACTGTGCGCACAACTGCTGCGTGGGGAAGCAACACCAAACACAGCAGATGAGTGGGACGTGATCAGACCCTGCGATGGAAACGTGGTTGGCAGGACCATTGTTAGCGCGTCTGTCAGAGCAGGGCTGGGGATTATTTTGGGCAGGGCCGGTCATTGCAGGAGAGTGCTAAGTACATCCTGTCACAGTGGCCTGGTAGTTCCTGCTTTCACTCCCCCTCCCCCCGTCATAATCTGAGTAACCTCCTATTCCGTGCCGCTGCTGCCGCTGCTGCTGCTGCTGCTGTCTGGATCACGTGCAGGAGACTGAAGCCCGTGCCCGCAGCCTGCCGGCATCATCTGTTCATGCCATGTGATGTGTTGTTGGCACTGCAGCTTCTGCCACACTAGCGCTCTGCTGCTTTCTTCTCGGAGAAATCCTCCATGTTTACAGGGTTCATTGAATAAGAGGGCCTCCGGGGAGGGGGGTATTTCAGCACCACACTGAAGTGGACAGAGGCACAGAGGGGAGAGCAGCCACAGTATTTGTTTTTGGTTTCAGCATCACGTGACTACAGCGACCTGAAGCTGCTCCATGTGGCAGCATCTCATTTTGTACACTTTGTACAGTGTGTAGTGTAGTTGCAGTAGCACTGAGGAATATGGAGGTTACAGAGAATATGAAGGTAAAATCACTCTAATGCATTAAATGTATTTATATAGCACTTTTCCAGCCTTATCGACCTCTCAAAGTGCTTTACAGTACAAGCCACGTCCACCCATACACATTCACACGCTGCACTCCTTCTATCACAACATTCATACACTGTTTGCACAGTTGTGAAGGGCAGATTTGGGTTCAGTATCTTCAGCTGTGGCTGAGAGTGGTCGTCTTCCAAGCAGAAGGTCGATGGTTCAATTCCCAGTCTTCCTCATCTGCATGAAATAGAAAAAAAGTGCTGCCAATATATGCACTGTGTGTGTGAATGGTTGAATAGCAATAAACTGTACTGTAAAGCACTTTGAGTGGTGGTCAAGACTAGAAAAGCTCTATATAGATACAAACCATTTGCCATTCTATCTTGCCCGGGGACACTTCAGCATGCAGACTGGGATTGAATTACCGACTCTCTGGTTTGTGGACGACCCTCTCTTTCTCCTGAGCCACAGCCACCCATTATGAGATAATCAACTAAAAGCACTGTAAACAAAAAACAAAACAGCCAGTCTACTAAAGAATGTTTGTTGGCGTTTGCTTTATTTACACAGGCTCACACAGACCTTACTACTGTATTTGGAAAAATACAATTTTTATAATACAGGCTGTATATTTGAGGGTAAAGGAAAAACCTGAAGAATAAGTGGGAAAACAGGATGACAATGCATTCATCCACAGGGGTCACAATAGTTTGTTGAGTGGTACAGTTATGTGAGTGATCATGCTGTGATCATCGGATCTCAGCCAAGTTAATTACCGACAGAAGGTTTTACACTGATGTACTCTCATCATGAAAACGTAGTGAAACATTTTGTATTAATCCCTCCAGTATGTCTGTGCCACAAATTCAGATTGTACATGTGATGCAGGTGAGGAAATGCAGTCCACAAATCTTTGTTCTTAATAATTTAAGACATTTTTATATATGTAACATGATCACAATTACAGTATAATCCTGCTGCTCCCCAAAAACATATTCACAAACAATTCATCCACAGCCAAACATGTCACTGCTTCGTGTCATCAGTTCAAAACCATGTCTCGAAGAAAGTCTGATGAAATTAGGAAAAGTCAATCAAGTATGTTTTTAGAACTCAGGTCATCCCTGAGAAAAGCTTGTTGCAAATCCCAGTAGAGAAGATACTTCTTTGGTTGTTTTTTTTATTATTTTACAACACAGTTTTAGCTAGAACCACACTCAGTGGAAACCTGAATAAATGAAAACAGGAAATAAATGAAATTTCTGGATCTGTCTCTTGATCCTGTTGAGTAATTTAATTATAATCCTGCTGACAAACAAACAAAAGCAGATGGAAACATAACCTCCATGGCTGAGGCCAGTGGACACAAAGCAAACAACCACAGTAGAATCTTCTGTTTGTGTTGCGACAGCAGGTGGATACAGTGAGACTGTAGATACGGTGTCCAGCAGTGTGTTGGCTTAGGAGAAGTGTGATGACTCATTCAATCATTGGAATTCTAACAGAAGTTCTTCATCCCACTCAGCTCAGTGGGCACAGTTATACAGAAAGTGCGGATCTGACCAAAAGGGTTGATCCAGAATTTCTTTTAGTACTTTTTTAAACTTGTGAGATTTGGATGGATCATGGATATTGATGAGAAAAATCACGCTTGTTGAGGGGAATGATATTTATGAGTGTGTGCAGTTTGGTGCAGCTCTAAATAAAACTCCAGATCTAATTCATTTCAATGTGGTTTTATAAAGGGACCATGGGGTCACGGTATGTGCTCTACCTAGTGCCCCTCTAGTTGTTAATACTGTATGATACCTTGGGGTGGTTTCAATTCCCTAAACGTACACTTCAATTAAATTAAATGTCAAGACCTTAAACACTATAGAGAAACCCAACAGTTCCCACAGTGAGCAGCACTTTAGCGCCTGTGGAGAGAAAAACTCTCTCATTAACTGGAAGAAACCTCTAGAACCAGACTCATTGTGGCCAGTTGGAATGAGCAAATGGGGAAGAGAGGAGAGATGGGTGGAAAAGAGAGAAGAGAAGAGAGAAAGATAGGAGGGAGGGGAAGGGAGAGACCAGGAACAGTTTCGCACCATCAGGTTTCAACTCTGACAGCTCTGTTAATGAACTAATGAAAACAAGATGGGAGTTCCCCCAGCAGTCTGGACCTATAGCAGCATAAATAAGAGATGGTTCAGGACTCACCTGATCCAGAACTAACTATAGGCTTTGTCAAAAAGGAACGTTTTAAGTTTAACTTTAAATGCTGAGATGGTGTCTGTCTCCTGAACCCAGAGTGGGAGCTGGTTCCACAGGAGAGGAGCCTGATAGCTAAATGTTCTACATCCTGCTCTACTCTTACAGACTCTTGGAACCACTAGAGAGCCTGTGTTTTGGAGCAGGATCTTGAAATCTATTCTGAATTTTACAGGGAGCCAATGTAGAGAAGCTAAGACAGGAGTAATATGATCTCTCCTTCTAGTTCCTGTCAGCACTCGTGCTGCAGCATTCTGGACCAACTAGAGACTTTTCACATACTTCCTGGTACATCCTGATAATAAAGAGTTACAGTAATCTAGTGTAGAGGTAACAAATGCGTGGACTAGTTTCTCAGCATCCTTCTGAGACAGGATGTTTCTAATTTTCACAATATTGTTTTGTATGTTGGTGAAATGACATGTCGTGGTCGAACATAACTCCAAGGTTCCTCACGGTGGATCTGGAGGCCAAACGGACACCATCCAAGGTGACTATGTGGTCAGAAAGTGGTTCTCTGAGGAACATGACTTCAATTTGGTCAGAACTTAAGTAAAAAGTTCTGTGTCATACAGGCCTTGATATTCTTGAAACATTCCTGAAGTTGAACTGTCATTTATCAGGTTTCATAGATATGAACCGCTGGGTTTCATCTGTGTAACAATGGAAGTGCACTTGGTGCTTTCTGATGATGTTGCCTATGGGCAGCATATAGAAAGTGAACACAAACACAGATAAACTTAGGAAAGTGTAGATAGATAGTGTTCCAGAGTTGGTCAGTACAAGGCTACTGATGTGTGGGTTGGTGGATTGTTGTCGAGTGTTCAGAACAAGCACAGCTCAGGGACAGAGGGCCATGAGTGCTGAGTCATCGTGCTGTAATAAAGTAGAGGTGTGACCTGTTCCTCGCCGGAAGGTTTGTTAGAGCCTGAAACTCCTGCTCTCTGTTTGGACGCACTGACCGACCCAGAAAACGAGTAGTAACACCAGTCGCTCTCGGACACACACCAAAAGTAAAGATTGTCATGTAAGGACACCACTGCAGTGTTGAAGGTGGTGCGGTGGTTCGCACTGCAGCCTCACAGAGACGGAGTTTGAATATCTGCTGCCTGGACAAAATGGATGTGAGCCTAAAGTTGCCCACTTGTAAAATAGAAAATGTGGCCCAGATATCCAAAAACAAATGTGACCTTTCTTTCGGCAACATGCAATGGTCTAAGGTGTATCCTGGATGTGAACCTTAAGTGGCCCATGTGGTAAATAGTGAATATGGCTCACATAGCATAGAACAAATCTGGGCCACCTAGGGCAACTTTAGTTTTACATGCGGTATTGCTACTGCCCAGATCTGGCAAACAGGAGTGGACCAAGTGTAATCATTCCATGCGGTATGTGGGCCGGATGTGGGATGTAGGCCGAATCTGGGCCAAAATAATTAATTATAAGCAGAATTTCAGCCACTCATTTGAAACCTTGAATGAGTGTGTTAGAAATAGTTTTGTTTTCTATGGCAATTGAGTAATTCCTTAAAAATCAAATGTTAATGTATTTTATATGGTGTTTTTTGTTGGTTGGAACAGTGGGTAAATGACACGTTAGTTTTACAAGATCAAGTATAGATTTTAAAATGAAATGTGCCAGTAAATGTTGGAAAACTCATAACATACAAAACCTGCTTACTTGTCTTCTACCCGAGTCACCGTGAAATGATGTGGGAATGTATGTCCGAATAAAAATGAACTTGTCCAAACTACACTCTCAAGATGTTTGTGTTCTCCACCTGTGCTCTCTGTGTAGGAAGGAGCAGGAGCTGGACTCTAAAGATGCCATCATCCTTCATCAGTTCTCCAGGCCAAAGAATGGCGTGCCCAGCCTCTCACCCTTCTGCCTCAAAATAGAGACGTACCTGCGTATGGTGGATCTGCCCTACCAGGTGAAACACAGCCGCAAAGCTACAGAGAGTGCAGGGCTCTTGAATAATCACTGATGTAGTGTTTCTGACCATGATGTCGTCCTTTGAATATCTGTAATTTGTTGTATGCAGTTGGCTCTTCAGTCAAACGTCTGCAAAGAAGTTCGCTGTAGTTAATACTTTACATGTTCACAGCAAACATGGTTGAAACAGTCCTAACCTTTTTGACCAATGACCCATTTGAATGTCAATGTGTGACTCTTCAATCAAGAATCATTGTTTCCATCGTAACTTGTTTCATTTCGTTACTTTTTAAGAGCCTGAAGAGAGAAAAGTATGCAGTTAGAAAGAATTGAGAAAAAAACAAATTGTTAAAGAAATTGATACGAGAGATGTCTTTAATAAATGAATGGTATAAAAGATATCTAGAAAACCTAGTGAAGGTAAAGTCAAGGCAAGTCTCACAGACAAAGTATTTTAAGGTGAAAAAGATCTTTCTTGATGTAACAAAGATCTGAGTGAGTCTAGAGAACAGCTACCTGACGGCAAAGATTCAGTAAACGTAATGTGACATGATCCCAAATACACAGAGAAACCACATTCATTTAGATTGATTTTAGTAATGTGTAATGTTGTAGAGTTATCATGGAACTTGTATATAGATTATATATGGATAACATAGGCCATCACAGTAATACTTCTTAAACACTGGATCCTACACTTCCCACAATGAAAATCAATAGCATCTTTTGTTCAACACTGCTCTTCACACTCTGACCTTCACTTACTTAAATAAGCTTTCTGTATTAAATCTGTCAGTTGGTCCAATCCCAGGTTGAGGTGACCCTGGTGACATCATCAAGGTCATCTCAGTGTTCCTAGGCCTCCTTGACGCCATTGCAAATATTTTTTCAACAGATGCTTTCCCCTCTATTTATAAAAATATCTCCATCTACACGACCTTTATTTCAGTAAGTGGCGATAAAGTCCAAGTAATACTGGGCGAGGCAGCTTCCTGTGAATGCTGATAATGTGGTGCGGTGATGCTGAATTTAGCTACAAACGTGTATTTGGACCTAGCAGTGCTAATCAAACATTAAGGAACCAGTTTATATGTTGTTGTTCCTGGTTTACACTCATTACACAAAGCAACAGTGGGCAGGTGAGAAGTAAGCTGGGTTAGGGTTAGTAACTTTCAACGCTGCTTTCATGTGAAAACTAGTTTTCAGTGTGGACAGAGTGCTTTATATTGGTAAATAGATTGTATTTATATGGTACTTTTCTCATCTTATTGATCACTCAAACACTTCTATACACAGGGCACACACACACCATTCATGGGCACAGATTTTTGACCTCAATGTCCTACCCAAGGGCACTTCGGCATGCCGACTTCAGGAGCAGGGGATCGAACCACCAACCCTCTGCTTCACCTCCTGAGCCACAGCCGACACTAGAGCCAAAAAAAGATATTACACCAGATGGTTTCCTGCAATGGTGACTGCAATATGGGGGGATCCTTACATCTGGGTCGAAAACCTCTGAAATAAATCATTAAAAAAATTACAGGAAAATCTGAATCTGGGCACATCTGACTACACTAACATGCTCAGCCTCTATTTTGTCCAGAAATCATACAGATTTCATTCTTTTTCTTCCCCCTGCAGAACTACTTTGATGGGAGGCTGTCGCCGCAGGGTAAGATGCCCTGGATCGAGTACAACCACAAGCAGGCGTCAGGGTCAGAGTTTATCGTGGACTTCCTGGAGGAGAAGCTGGGCGTCAACCTCAACAGGAACCTCACCCCGCAGGAGAGAGCCGTGTCACGAGCCATCACCAAGATGGTTGAGGAGCACCTCTACTGGTAAGTGACTCACAAACAGAGCGAAAGCAGCATTGTTGCAGCAGCCTTGTTTCAGTCTCCAGTGATTTAAATAAAAAATCATTAGCATGTTATCATAATATGATTATTAAACGACTGTTAATTGGGCAGAATACAGTGATTTTCTGTCATTTTATGCCATAGTTGGGCTTAAGGGCTCAAATTATACATTTACTGACTCTAGTACACTTATATTTACATATTTATATTTAAGCTATTGCTCGTTGAAAACATACCTGTTTAGAATGTGGTTTGCTTGGCATACGGTGGCGGTTACTGTCATCTACAGTACTTGAGGTCTCAGGAAGAGATCGGCCGCAGAGACCTGAAGCAGTGCCACCACTGAGGCACAAAGAGCTGTTCACTTGTTTATTCAAATCTAGAAATTGAAGAATGAGTTGTTGTTGCGGTCATCTAAACGTGGCCATTGTTGTGAACCGTTATCGTGATCGACAAAACCCCTTATTTTGATGAGGCCCTTTAGTCGTGCTGGCCCCAAAGAACATGTGTGTGAAGCTGATAACATGAACAGTTCTCAAGGTATATGTTCCGGATACAGATAGACAGAGATTTCTGGAATAAGTAGATGGATGAATATTGTAAGTTCAATGTTAAACCCTAGCAGGAGCCAATCTAGTGGAAGATCAATTGAATCACATTGTTAAAAGCTTAAAAAGAAGTTGAGTCTTGATGTTCTGGTATCATTAAAGTGTTATTTATGCTGCCTTCCAGCACAGACTGACTCTCTCTGTACCATCAGCCTTGTTCTGCTGCAGTGACTCACTCCAGTACCTTTGGGTGCTGCTAGGAAATTGTTTACCACTCCTCCCACACCCAAAGATGTTCAGTGTTTTCCATTACCTAAAAGCTTCATCCATCTTGACTCCCTGCACCCCTTACACACATACACATATACACACGTATACACAGATCCAACTCTCTTGGTGTGATGTGGCCTATTTTCCACGTTTTAAAAATATCAGGACACATTTTTAATTAAAAAGTCATCACATTTATAACATTTAAAGGATTTAACCCTTTGGAGCGTCTGTGTTTTTTTTTCTTGCTCGATCATTAGTTCACAAACTTGTTTTAAGATTATTCTTGGAGTGCACCCTGCCTGTTGTAGGCGTTTTTAAATTGGTCTATGTGAAGTATTGAAACCCAGACAGAAGCTCTTGTCTCACCGCATGTAGGAAATGACTTCAGACTCCTTCAAGGGGCTGTTTTGTTCTTTGGCTTCCACTATACATTCAATCTCACCGTTTCTCAGATCAAGAAATGTAGTTTTTGAAAAAAATAATAGATGTGAGATTGAACCATTCATGTGCTGTAAATAGGAACCCCATAACATTTCTCTAAAGCAGTATAGGTCATGTATTTAACCCACATCTCCTCCTCCTGCCTCTTGTCTGCTTGTGTCACCTCCCAGCTCTCCTCTCTGCCCCCCCCCCTGCGCCATGTTTAGACCTATTGATTGAATAATTTATGTTAAGGAAGGGCAGTGGTGAACACAGGCTAACAGCATTACTGAGATATGGTGAGATCATACGTCTGTTTAAAAACAGGATAACAGGAACTGCCAGCTGAGGCAAGTGTGCTTTATGTTTTATCCACCACTTCTTTCCAAGCAGTTTCTTATCATGTATATTAGCGATAACATATATTAAAGCAGCACTAAACAGCAATTGCAATTGAGGAGATGTTGATTATAATGGAGGACCAGGAGAGAAGTATTAAGGCTGATTCATGGTTCTGCGTCTAAGCTACGCCGTGGGTGAATGCACACAGCCTACGCACGGGGCCTACACTGCTTTGAGCCGAACAAATTCTCTGCCGTCTCTGTTTACTTCATGTTGAAGTCAGAGCTTATAGATGTTGAAGAGCAATTACTTTTCCTTAAAGAATGCAATGAAGAAAAGAAAGATGTCTGTATGACCACTAAACCATGTGAGGTGAAGCTGGAGATTCCATAAATACTGTCTGCCTTCATTCGAAAGCTGTATTTGAAGACATATGTTGTCCCAGCAGCACGACTAGACTGTCCCATTTTGAAGGCTCCTCCAAATAAGGCAAATAAATACGTTATAATTTCATTCCCGATATGAAGGCGTATCCTTTGTGGCCCAACCTATCCCAGGATTCATTTGTCTTTAGTGACAAACCGTCTTTCAAAGATGTAATGGAGCCGGCAGGTGACGAGACTTACAGCGTTCATGTATCAAGCTTTCAACTCAACTTAGCAGCTAACTGTACACAGACGATAATATATACTAATAATATATACTGTTATAAACAGTTATGGGTACACAATTTCAGCTCTGTTACTAGACAATAGGAATGAGGGCGGGTCGAGCTGGTGACTCTGACCATGGAAATCAATTTCTCTTACCCAGCATTTTAATTATTATATATCACCCAGAAGAAAAGCCACATACTGGATACAGTGTTAAATGTTCTGTAAATTGATTATTCATATTATTATTTGAAACTTCTTCTGCATTTTTATATCATAATCACACACTATGATGCTAATATAATCATTTTTTTCTCTTTATATTGAGGGCTAAGATAAGTCATGAGAATATGCAGCTAATTTTGCTGATGAAGTGAGGTAAAAAAAAAAATTTTTGTTTCTGTAAAGCTCACATGACATCTTATTATCATGATTTTCTCTCAGGAAACACAGTGTTGCCCTGTGAAAAGCTAAACAGTTTAAACACTGACTGTCCACCAGTTTGACTCCATTACACATCTTGCAGTGTAGAATGTGGCTCAATGAAAAATGAAACCCTTTCCACTGTAGCTCCCTGCTCTGTCAGGCTCATGTGTTTTTCCTCCAGATCTGGAAACAAAGGACATTATATCCTCTTGGGATATCAGATAATGCAACAGGAAGTAGTGAGTGGCCACTGGACAGTCACCACCCCTTGACGTAATCGAGGCCAGATGCTTCAATTGAATTTTTATTGAGTGACCAGTCATAATGAGTGATCCTAAAGACAGTAGACTGGAGGAATAGAAGTCTTTACAGTCGAAACACAGCTCAGGGGTTGGTCATCACCAGCAGAAATATGACATGAGGCTTCAAGGCTTTCAGACAAGCAGATGGGGAAGCTCAGCCTGTTTCCATCGGGGTGGTGTGACAAAGTGCAAGTGTGTACGGATGTAGCAGCTTAATCTTGTTAGTGTCTGCACACACAAACAGCTTGGCTGCAACAGAGCAAAAAAAAACACAGAATGAGCTGAATAGCAGGGATAGTTACTGTTTCATTATTTTTATAAATTAGGTGAATCCAGGTAGAACAACTGTTCTTTATTGATTTCCTTTATTAAATGTGTTGCTGTTACAACGATGGACATGTTGATTAATTAGACCAGAGTTAAAGAGGGATTGTAAAGGCTTTGGGTCTCATTTGCACATAAATACTGGCTCTGTCTGTTCCCCACTGTGAGACAAATCTCTACTTGACGTCAGGATGCCTCCTGCTGAGTCCTGCAGCTGCCCAGGTTTCCCTTTAGAACCTTTTAAACACAAACAACAGGGAATCTGCATCTCTCTGCAGAGAGTTTGTGCTGCGCTGCAACAAGTGGATGTTTTTGTTCTCCAGTTTTTAATCCAATTCTGTAATTGAAGTTCTAAGATGTTTGCAAGTCATCTTTTGTCCTCCAACCCTTTCCTGTGTGAGAGGAGGCACCAATAACCGACTTGAGTACATCACAACAAGCTGACAGTTTGAGGGGGTTGAATATATGATGTTGTGTCCTGGCAGCGTGTTGAGAGCAGTGCAGGTGATGGATGGGCAGTGAGAGGGAAGTGGAGGTGCACTCTTTTTGATCAGGATGAGGTTGATTGTCAAGATATAAAGTTTTGTTGGAAGCACGACGTAGGAGTTTAACCCTCTATTACTCATTGTTGACACTACTATACAACACTGCATAGATAGAATCACCATGAGGTTGCTTCCTTTTCGTCACATTCTGAATCGATATGATACGAAGAAATGTTTGTTAACGTAATAAATAGCTTTTGGTAATAATGACAATAACATTATAATGATCATTATTACTATTATTATCATTTGTTAAATAGATACATAGCATCACAAAATATAAAAAAGAAACCCCCCAGAACCATGGACAGCGGTCAGTCAAAGTTTGCTAAGCTTGGTCACGTATACAGTATGTAGTCTATATGTGAAAGTCAGTTACGCTATGACTCCTCCTTCCAGTCTCTCTCCCCCTCTTTTTTTTCTCCCTCCAACCCAACCTGTCGGCCACTCACCCTGAGACCCGTTCTGTCTGACTTTACTTCCTGTTAAATGGGATTTCTTTGTCTGCTCTGTAGCCAAGTGCTTGTTTACTGTGGGATCTGTTTTTTTCTCCATGATACTCTGTAAAGTTCGTTTAGAATGTTAGTTGTGATTTGAGGCTATACTAATAAAAATCGGATTGAATTAGATTGACTGGTGAGGCTATTAGAGGGTGTAGCATCGTCTACAAGCATGAAGGTGTTGTTACAGCCCACTACTGGCTGAGAGTGATATGTGTGTAGTATAGTGTAGTATAGTTTCAGTTGCGGTGTAAATGTAGCTTTGTTTGATCGTGCAAACTCATTCTGTTTTACCAGAAATTAGAATTTAAGTTAAATGGAGAGTTGCTGGAGAGGGGCAATCCAAAAAAATATCTCAGAGCCTAAGCTGCAAAGACAAAATGACTGTGGGTTAAATGATCCATGATGTGAAATACATTGGTGTCAAACTGATTCCCACTCTCACACAATTATTTTCTTCATTTCTTTCCCCAGGACGATAGCTTACTGTCAGTGGGTGGACAACTTGGAGGAAACCCAGAAGCTTCTTTCTATGAGCGGCCCTCTGAGCGACACGCTAAAGTGGCTGCTGAGCCACCTGAATGGCAGCATGGTGCGCAGAGAGATGTACGGCCATGGCATTGGACGCTTCTCCAAGGAGGAGGTCTACACCCTGATGGAGAAGGACATGAGGACTCTGGCTACACTGCTGGGTAAGAGGGGCGTCCATGTGTGTGTGTGTGTGTGCATGTTGGATAAGCAGCCTCTTCTCCAAACTCTGCCATTAAAATGTGATTAGCTAGAAACAGCAAAACAAATCTCTCATCACAACAACCAACAGGGACCTATGAATCTAAGGGATTATCCGAACTCTGTTAGATAATCCGATAAAATTGTTACAGGATTGTTTTTTTTATTTGGGATAATAAAATTACACATTTTGTTACTGCAAATCCCTGGCCATTAGTACAGAGATTTATACAGCTTTTCTTTTACGATATCAAACACAATACAATCTCTGATTTATTCAGAAACTCGTGTCTTTTTGGACAAATTTGACAACGCTTCTGGAACAAAACATTTTTCTTTTCCCCCATAAAATCCAAAGAGAAAGTCAGTTTATCCAGTCTGTCAAACCATCAATCCTCTTCTGTACAACCCAGTTGAAATGACATCTGTTTTAACTTGCCAGACCACAGTTATCATTTCATTATCTATATGTGGACTTGTGAAGCATATGAGGCAGCATTTTTTGACTCTTACACCTTGAATTAATTCAGACACATCATTTACTCTTCTCAGACAACACACCAAAGACCCATTCATATGTGTGGTGTCAGAGTAGTTAGGTTTAAACTCATCATTACCCTTCATCAAGAATAAGGCAAAGATGAAAGAAAAGAGAGAACGGTCTGGATGTCAGCCATGAGACACAATATCAGTGTAAGTGTTCAGATGGAAACAAACGGACGGATGCTGCAAGAAAAGTAATTGACATCGATCTATTTGTTCCACTGTGATGGACTATTATTTGCTATAAAATGGAAAGTTGTTCCTGGAGTGAAGGCATCAGTACTCCCTTCTCCTTTAATGGTATGTTCCAGGCTCCAGTGCCAGACGTATGAATCTGAAATCTTTTGTTTCTGCTCTTCCAGCTTCAATGTGAAATGAGTTTATTATGAAGGGGCAGACAAGGAGGAGATAATCGGTTTAGTGTTAATGATATTTAAGGTCACAAACATGTTATATAAAGTAGAGATTTCAGTGTTAAGGGTTGTGTTACTTTGACTATTCATCAGACCACCACCACCAGACTGTCAGCTTTACATAACTTTTGAAATTGTTTTGTGAATTTATTGAACCATCAAACCTCTTATAGAGCTGGTGGTAGTTGTAATCCACAGATAGCTGATCGATCAGATTTCAACTGGTTGTGTGGTAGTTACAGTGTCCACCAGTTTTTAGATTGTGTGGTAGTTACAGTGTCCACCAGCTGCTCGCATGACTCAAAATGTCCTTTTGTTGACACATGTAAAACTACTTGCTGTCTTTTCTCTGTCCTGCAGGTGATAAGAAATACTTTATGGGCTCTAAGATGTCAACACTAGATGCCACAGTGTTTGGACATCTGGCGCAGGCTATGTGGACTCTACCTGGGACACGACCCGAACAACTCATTAAAGGTCAGTGGATCTGTTCAGTACTCAGACATTAGCGAGAAAAGATTTCTAATAATTATCACCAAGTCATTGCAGGATCACTGTAAATAACGCTGCTTTATTTCTGGCTTCCATATGTCCCTATATTTGCAGGACATAAGCCCTTTTCCCTGCTGCCTCATCATAGTCATATTTGTCTCCTTCTGCCACTAGATGGCACTAATGTAATTGCAATGCAACATCTTGCATTCTCTGTCAGTTTCAAAAGCTGCCTGTGTCTGTCTTTCAGGGGAGCTGATCAACCTGGCTATGTTCTGTGAGCGGATGCGGAGGAGATTCTGGCCCGAGTGGTTTGTGGAAGTGGAGGATCTTTATTACGATGGAGACAGTGAGAGCAGCAGTGGCGGTGGTGGCGGCTCCCCTACTGGCCTGCTGGACTTTGGCCTCTTCTCTAGGACTGACACTCTGGACGACAGCGATGGCAGCAGCCACTCAGCCAGGCACACCCACTCCCACTCCCCCGACTCCGACCACTCGCTGTTTGACTCGGATGTGGGCACGGGGTCTGACAATGACATTCAGCTTAAGGAGGAACGAATGCCGGACCTGGAGGTTTGACCTGAGAATGGCTGTGGTAGGCTGACGGATTGAGACTGACAGAAGGCTGGAGCAATCGGTTTTTGCTTTATAAACCTGGTTGAAAGAGCCTGTCCAGATTCAGCTCTCACAGCTGAAGAAACTCTTCCAGCTCCTCCACCTCTAATACCCAACATGTTACAACTCCCTGATGGAAAAACTGGGTATTTATATGCAGAGCGTAAGAACTGAACCTCATTATGCACATGCTACTGTACTGTTTGTCCCCTCTCGTGACATCCAAACTGTCCCCATGGCAGTCTTCTTTTTGCCTTACTTGTCTTGTCCTAAGATGCAGGAGCTGGTGTGAAAGGTTAACACAACAGGAAAACGTCTCATGAAAAGTGCGGCAACGCATAGACAAGAGAGCGTTGTAGACAGGACAGGTGGCACGTCACTTGCTATAAAATGATGCAACTAATCACCATTCTGCCATGTGTCGTTACGCACAACCCATACAGACAGGTGGAGATTGATCATGTGGCTAAAAGGAACAGCTGCTGCATCTCCACTACGAACCATCCATGTGCTGAAGAGGAAACACAGGTGACACAGAGCTCCAGTCCGTGCCCCAGATTCATCGTCATGTCGTCTCCTCGATGCTTCAAGAATCTGTATCAACACAATGATGCGTCTCCATCAGACCATGAGATCCACTTGTAGTTCTACTGAAAATGAGTCCGGAGAAGGGATGAGCGGAATCCTGCCTGTTGAATTTACTTGTTATGAAAATGATTTATTAAGTATTTGTTGGCACGCTGGGATCAGGTGAGCCTGGGGGTTGTTGGTTGTCAGTTTCACCATCCTTTAGGTCCACATTGAAGAGCTGACATTTTTCTATTTTACCACTAGAGGGTGGCAGCAGTCTACCTGATATCCCCTTCATCCTGTAACATCAAGGTCATCCCCCTCTGAGGACCTGCAGTGGATTCAACTCAGCAAATGATTTCTCCTTCAGGCCTAAACTTTAATATTGTGGTTCCTATTCAAGTGTGTGTGTGTGACTGAGCACAGCAACAAATCAGCCTTAGTGCTCAGTATCAAGGGTGAAATAATCTTTGTTGGAATATAATTTCGTTATCAGTGCCACTTGATAATTATCATTATTATTATTTTTCTTTCTATAAGAACATATGTGTCAAAATCTATATTTTTTTGTTAATATTTATTTTCTTATTTCTCTCAAAGAGAATGTTATTTTGCACTAGTGGAAGTTTATTTTCACCTTATTTCAGTGGGAGCAGTCTGCTGGGGAAATATGTATATCAGAAGAGCAGGATGCTGAGTGCGCTGATAACAATTGTGCTGTGAGTGGGACGCCGCTGCCCATGTCGGCCGTGTGTATGTGAATGTAGAATGTATAGCAGAGACGGTCATAATACCAAATCAAACAGAACTGAGCATCGCTAAATGAAAAATCTAAGAAATGGACCAAATGTGTGGAGAAGCGTTCTGTCTGTCATCCTGAGCTGGAAATGCTCATGAAGACGACACAGTGTGATGCCTGTAAAAAGGTTGTGGGGCTTATAGGTTAGATGCAACTCAAATTAAAGGATCAGTTCACCCAAATTACAAAAATTCTCACGTGAATATATTAAGCCATGCAGATAGTTTGAGTTTGATTTCCTCCTTGTTGTGCTTCCATCCTTGTGCAAAAAAGGCGAGTGGACTTTTATATGTGCTGCTTACAACATTGACTATGATTGATAATGTTGTATGGAATAATACACAGAACACGCTGTTGACTGATTTCACAGGGACTTTTCTGGTTCCAATGCAAATGGCTTATAGAGAAATCAAGTTTGAGAGAATGATAACCAACATGTAGCCTCGTCTTAACCTGTCGGGGAGAGCTGAAGCTGTATCTGTTCCAGTGAGTGTCAAGCAAACGACTTGGCAGAGAAACATGTCCATAAGGGAGCAGCAAACAGCCTTACCTTCATCCATGATCTTTTCCATTCATGCTATCAAACCCCAAATGCTTGCACACATGACGTCCCAGGTGGTTTGGTCAAACTGAGTCAGATTGAAACACCCCATCCTGCTTTTGGATTCATTATACACACATTATACACATCTTTTAGCAAGAGGGTTTCTTTTGTGACTGACATGTTGAGGTATGTGCTCGATTCATTGGTTAGTTTTTGTTTCCTCATTTTAAAGGTAGAATTTCGAAAATAAAGGGACAGCCTTAGTTCCAGTGAGGTCAGTACATTAGTTTAACCAGCAAGAACATTGTTTCAATATAGATGTTTCTGGCCTGTAATTTAAAGATGTTATAAGAGATCCGTGGTCATTTAGTGTATGCTGTCCAACATCAACCAAAGATGCAGGGGCAGACACCAATGTGCTTTTGTTAAGTGTTTTAAAAATGTGGCAGAAGGAGGAATAGGCAGATGATCATAGCTCGCAAATGTAGGCATCCACTCTCCCCAAATTGCATGGCTGATATTTTGTCCTGACTGACATTTGGGGTTGACGTCTGCGCTTACTTTTGCTCACTATAATCGTGATACATAATTTTCACACCGTTTCACCTCTGCTGTAGCTGCTCTAATCAGAATTTTTCACTCACCTACTAATTCCACAAACATCTATCTCGTGAACCTTTCATCTTATCAGCTTCACTCTTGGCATGTGTATTGTAAATGGCGAGAGAAAGTGCAGTGCCGGGTTTTGTGCAAATTGGACGCGTAATATGTTCAATATTAATCAAAATTTGTCAGACAGTAAGGGTGGGGGCAATAAAATCTGATTTGCTGATAAATCAGGAAGTTTTCTAGCTTCACTCTGAATATAGACTGTTTATAATAAGCTCTGCACATAACGTCCAGCAAACAAACCATACAAAGTGACAGCATATTGTAAAACTGTTTGAGGTCGACTGACTAATGTCAAGGAATAATTTTTAAGTAGAATCTGGAGCATTACAACAGGACAAATAAATAACACATTCCAAATAGGCATGTTTAGAATGGGCACTGCTCTAATATTAACAATTGACCAATAACTATGTGTAATGTGAAATCATTCCACCATATCCGCTCTTTGAGGCGTTTGTCTTGGCATGCTGTTTTGGTTGGTTCTCATGAGCATTGTTTACAGACAAGGCAGGCAGCTGAAAAAGCCTTGATCAACCTGCTGTATATATGCTACGTGCTCAGCGCCAAACGACAGACGGACAAACCTGGCGTCTCGCTTGTGAACATAGTGGAGCGTTGAGCAGCTAAAGAGATATTTCCCTCAGGTTTTGCTAGAGAGAACAGTGAAAAAAGATAGTTAACATTGGTTGGTGGACCCAAACGCAACATCTAACTTCTAATTTTGCCCTGCTTTTGAAAACAAGTTCAACATATCAACTGATGATAGGTCAGTGGTGCATTAACAAAAAGATAGTAAATGCATCAATGTTTTTCAATGCATCGCACGCATCTTTAGACAATAGGACAGGATCGTGAATATCCCTTGTAGGTTTAAAGGTCTTCCGCACTAGTTTGTTGATAGGTTGCCAACCACTAGTAGATGGTAGGGATCGCCAGCAAATGTTAGTGACCACTTGGACGTATCATTAGTTCTGTAGCTTAACGTCATCTGGTATTTTGGCCAAGACACCTTCTTCTAAGGCAGGCCCACCACAGGCTGATCAGACCTGGTGTGTGTTCTTAACACCTTGGGGCCCAGTTGGGGTCTTTCCTTCTGATCCAGAGCCATTGGCTGCACTGTTCTGCAGTCCGTGATTTTTATTTTATGGTCTGGCACAGGGCTTGTTCATGGAATCCAGAATTTGACCAACCTGATGGTGGATGTTGCAATAAAACCTCTGCAGCCAACCTCCACTGGGTTTCCAACCGTGTTTTCCACATACCGCAGCCTCTTGCTCTCATTCGCTTCATCAACAGCATCCTCTCAGGGTGCTGTCAATTCTACAAAGTAGATAACATGCAAGATGTTGGACCAGAGTACCAGGTCTTACAATCTCATCTCTAACACCTCAAAACCTGGACACAAAACTGTTTGCATGGCTACGCACCATACGGTGTAACTGAGAAGTTTTTCTATTTCAGGTGAACAGACCCTTTACAATGAAAAAGTCTAAGTAGGCGAGTTTGTGACCGAAAGGCCAGAGTTTGAGACTCCAGAAAGAACCTCCTTCCATCATGTCGTCCTGTGGTCTGAGTCCTGACCTGCCAGGACCTGGGTCATGTTTTTTCAGTTGCCTCACCCGGACTGGGCATCATATACAGACGGACTGCTTTAATCAAGCCATATTAAAACTAGAAGTGTTGTTATTGGAAACATGTCATAGCATTTCTGCTGGGGTAATATAAATGTTGTATGTGTGACAAATTGTACCATACTGTATGTAGAGCTGACTGATCAAACTACCTGTGGGTGTGCAGTAATAAAAGCTGGAGCGACTGGATGATTTCAATAAAGGTTAGCTGTGACAATTTTACACCTGCAGTTGTTGCTCATCCTTATCAAATGGGGAGGGGGGGCACTGGAGGCAAGACGAGAAGACAGAGGAGAGCAGGAGAGAGCAGTGGTAAAGTTAAGGGGGGGGGGCTGGGTTTTGGTGGGGAAGTTGAGCCAGGGCATAGGGGAAGTAACCAGAAGCAAAAGGGAAGGGAGGGATGAGGGGGAGAGCAGGTGGAGAGGAGAGCAGGGTTCAAGAGGCAGGATGGAGGAGTGAAGGGATATGAGGAAGGTACGGGGGAGGAGGGGAGAGGAGCGGGGTGTCAGTGGGGGCGATGGAGGGTTCACTGGGTTTCCTTCCTAAGAAACTTACTATTAATTCAGAATAATACAGACACGCTTCAGTAGAACGAAGACAATTGGGTCACCGCACTACTTACTGGCCACCTGTTTGTTTTTTGAAGTCCAGTCACTTTCGTTGGGAAGCCTCACACAACATAGCACCTTAATATACACCCTCCCCATCCCTCAGCCCCACCACACTCTTCAGCCAATATTAGAACAGGGAAGAAATGGATAACCTATCTTTTTGATATGGCTTTTGATTTGGGGTAACTTTATCTTTATTTAGATTTATGTTTAATCTCATTTTAGTTTTGGACCTTTGTTTTTAATCTCCTCTATAGAAGCACACTGAGCTATATCTGTGCATGTGAGTTTCAAAATCAAAGTGAAGTTATCATTATAATCTTAAGTTTAAACCGAGGAGAGAGGACGAGGATGGAGACCGCAGAAGGGGGAAGGTGTGAAGTCAATGGGGAGAAGATAAAGCAGGCAAGAAGAATAAAAGTACTGGAAGGAGAGGAAAGAGAAGAGGATGAGGAGAATATGAGGATGAGGCGGTTGGGCTAGGAGCCCGGGGAGGAGAAGCGAGGGCCATGGATCAGGAACCAGGCTCCCGGGGGGGATGGAGCAGGTGCAGGCTGCGAGCAAGGCCTCTGGGCCTGAAGGGGCTGCCAGAGCTTAAAACAATCTGCACTGCTCCTTTTTTAATTTGGCTCTGTGAACAGCCCACCCTCCTCACTGACTGTCTCTCTCTCGCTCTCTCTCCCTCTTTCTCTATGCTTAACAGATCAGCGATCCACAAAGAGGGGTAAACACACACAGAGCAAAATTAAAATCGGAACTCCCCTGGCACGGCAAAACAAATTAGAGCAAACAAATTACAGAGAGTCAACACACAAACAGTGGAGCATCTGTGGCTGTCTGGACTGCTGGAGCCGGTGGCTACCTCCCACACCACCACCTATAGCGCATGTTCACAATAAACTCTGTGTCGATACCACAAACTCAGACATATTCTCTTCAAATCAGTGGTGTTATGGTCGTCTGTTGCGTCTCCTCTCTCTACTACACACAGTTTAAAAAGAAATGTGATGATTGGCATCAGAGTGCGTCATATTTAAGTACACATAGAGTAGTGCTGCCTTGAATGCCAATGAAGTGTTTTCTATTCTTTTCTGGCTTTTTAATTTAACACACCTGCCCTCTTTGTTGCTCCTCATTGATGTTAATTCATTTGTTGATACGCGTCCCCTCGGAAGCCATGATTCTGGTACCACTACTACACTGCTGGATCAGCTTTGGCACTATTTGGTTCCCGTGCATATCTGCACAAATGGAAAAATGATGTTAAGACATTCACAAAGTTCCTACATCAACGACTAATATCTGGTTTTTAGCTCCCATGCCAGAGAAGGCAGCTCATAATCTATCCAAAAAAGCATTCTCAAAAATTGGGTTTCTGCAATAGACATACA